ATATACCACGGGAGGCTGGTAGAAGTGACGTCACGCCTCGACTTCATCTGGAAGCTGCAGGCGGAGACAGACCTGGATGAGATGGAGGATACACAGAAGACAAACAGACATCTCCTCAAACATATCCTGCCGGATCACGTCGTTGTACACTTCTTGAGTAGGGATTGGTGTCCTGATGTAAGTTTGAATTTCATAAAGATTAAAAAAAAATTGTAGTAAAAGATTTACCTGAGGATTGGCCATGGTCTCCAAAATAATTGTACCACCTATTTTATATTCCCCAAGTCACTTAATTAAGAAGTTTACAAGTTCATTTACCCCATCTTATACTATTATATAAAGCGGAAGAGTTTTTTTTTGTTTGTTTGTTTGAACGCGCTAATCTCCGTAACTACAAGTCTGATTTATATATTTCTTTTTGTGTTGGATAGCGCATTTATCGAGGATGGCTACAGGCTATAAAACATCACGCTATGACCAAAAGGAGCTGAGCAGAGCGTGTGAAAACGCGCGAAGTAGCTAGTATTCCATAACTCATATGAATAACTGTAAAATATCTTTCTCGTTCTTTTGTGGATTTTTATGGGATACGCTTTGGAATCAATAAGCTTCTCAAACTGACCGATGGACAGTTCCATTCTGATTTATAAAAGCGTCTGTTTGACTTTATGCACTCTGTTTCCAGGAGCTATACTCCCAGTGGCGCGACGAGGTGGGCGTAATGTTCGCTGGTATCCCAAACTTTGACGAGTTCTACTCGGAAGAGAAGGCGGTGGAGTGCATGCGGGTGCTCAACGAGATCATTTGTAATGTACCAACCGAACTCATATCTATAACTGCTTGTTAACGTCCATTGACACCCTTACATCATAAATCCTGTAGAGTATTTAACCAACTTTTCACTCTTTTATAGAGATGATAAACATATTTAGCGATTAACCCCTGGTATACCGGGGACGTAAGGTCAAAAGTCAAAAGTCGACTGCCACCGTAATTACTATCGGTTGCGCTGCAGTGCTTATTCACACATGCACACGCATATTCGTATCAGTGTGCGTACGCGTGCGTGTGTTTATGCGTACGCACGCGTTTTTATGCACATTAATATGAAATTACTTACGCATTGCCGTGTGAACATCACTCACGGTGGCAGTGGACTTTTGACCTTTGACTGTACATATACGCGAGATACAATGTGTTTTCTATTGTGTCTCACATACCGTCAGATAAGGGGTTAATCTACAGTGAATGTTAGCAGACAAATACCGCCTCTTACTTTCTGTGAATGGCCCAATCAACCGCGAAGTATAGCTTTTAAGAAACTTCTTCTTTTTGCTTGAATATAATTTTGATACGAATAAGTCGGTCATCTAATTTCCTGCTCTTGGACTATGGCGTCCACGTTTGGCTAACATGATTGTTCATTGTTTGCAGTTGACTTTGATAAGTTGCTGATGCAGCAACGCTTCAAAAGCATTGAGAAGATCAAAACTATCGCAGCTACTTATATGGCTGCTTCTGGACTCAATCCTAATCACAATAAGGTAAGGTTGCTTTTCCTT